TGTGTGTGTGTGTGTGTGTGTGTGTGTGTGTGTGTGTGTTTCAAAGGTAAAAACAAAATTCAATATTTATAAACGGTATAGATATTTTGCATTAATACTATTTATGAACAAGTTTAATTGTTTGTCTTCTAGTTAGAATTATTCGTACCGTATTTTGCCTCACAAATAATTACGAATCCTTTTTCAAAGTTTTCAAGAGAAAATGATTGTCTCTTTTTGGTCAAGGTCATTTTTCTTACGCGCAAATTCAATCGTTTTATCGTAGAAGCGGAGGTAGGTTTTTTCACGAAGACAGGAAGTAGTGGCATAGAGACTTTTATCGCAAGATCCTTGTCCTGTACTTTCATTTCTCGCTATCTTATAGATTCGCAACTTAAACTTAGTATCATCCTTGTCCGTTGTGCCGATACAGAAGAAAAAAAGTTAAAAGTAGCCACAGACAAGAGTAAGTAGACCAATTAGTCTCATTTTAGATCTTTAAAAATAATCTAGTCACAAATAGGCATTTATTTAGAAATATGCACTTTTAGGCGATATAAAATTGACGGGTTTTAGTTCAAATAATTCTAAAATGTATACATAAGACTTCATTTGGTACCCGGTACCCGGGAAAAAATAGGTTTTTTACCGAAATATCCGCGGTCTATTTATGACGTTCCACTTTAGACGTTTGGTATTCCGAGAAAGTTTCTGTGTTCGACACTGAATCCAATTTTTTGATGGAATTGGTGCTATTATTAAATTGAATTGCAAAAACAAAACCAAAATAGTGGTAAAAAATCGTAGGTATAAATTCAGTTTAATCTGAACACATTTTATTATAAAATGCTCTGTGCACGGAAGCAAGATGATAGAATTGCTAGGGGAAAATGTTCAGTTCATAAAAACTATCGGTCTCCTTTTGTACAATCGTACGACATTCTTGAATTGCAAAAACCACTATCGTCGCTTTCTCACGTTAAAAAAGAAGCTGGGTACGTACGAATGTATTACTTTTGTTACGTACATTTACGTACTTTACATCATTATTTCAAAATCATTAAGTGTGATTCATTGTAACGAAAACGTTATGAGAGAAGCCATCTGTTTGCAACGTGACGTAACGAATTACGTCAACTTACAATTTCAAGGCCGCAGAGCGATGATGCAGCATGTTCTGCTTCAGAGATTCCCCGAGACCCCGATCGTTGTCGCCTCTGTGAAGGCCTGAAGACTCACAGGCTCAGGATGAAGTCAGGACGACAATGTTCGTGTGATCTTATCACCTGTTGTATGTTGTTATCAAGATCCATTACATTGAACTTACATTCGGTTTAGATTGATTCTCTTTTTGGGGTATGTGGTAACGTGAGCATGTTAAACTGGTTTCATTAAGGAAAAGCATGCAACGTGATGTTGCTTTTTCCTTCCTGTATATTGCTTTGTGATTATCTGCTGACTGTTCATTTATGTTGATTTCCCTTTTACCTAATCGAAAGTAATAATTGTAAAAATAATTTGACCACCTAATTAAATACATTTGCATCGAATGAGATAGTCATTGACCTTGTTAAAAAATTAATTTCGTTAGTATTGTAATATCGACTTTTTGGGTGATAAGATAAGAACTTGTAAAAAAATAGAATTGATAATAGAAATATCTAAAGTTATTGTATTTTTATTAGTCTACATACTTTCCCTTTTGGTTTGGACGTATGCATGTGATTACACGTAATTATCACCGCCATATTACGTCGTATGCGATACATTTATCAACCGCTGATCCACGACAGTTCAGTCGGGTGTGTCTTAAATTCCTTCGGCGTTGTAATGTACATTTCTTGAACACGAGTTTCTTTTCTAATTATTAGAGAAACATCATTGTTTAATACTCAATATATTCATAATAATAAAAACAAAATGTAATACTCTCAGAAATCCTACTCGATGCTAACATGTAATTACGTGAATCTGAGAATTAAGTTCCATCAATATTCTCTTTAAAAATAAATCTCATAAGCTTGTAAGTTTGGAGCCACACGAGGACATCGTTGATTAAACCTCAGTGTCGTGAAAGTGGTTAGGCCTTCATATGACCCATTGTATTAATGATCCGTAATGCGGTTGCCAATAGTTTACCGACGTCACTTTTCATAATTACCCATAAATATTATAATGGTTCTTGATTCTGTTAGCTAACACATTAAGTAATGTTTCATATTAAACATAATTTAATTTTCTACGGAGAAAAAGGCATCGTTTCGCTCCCCTTTACATTTTTACATTGAAAATACAACTTATTTTAAAACAAAAATATTAACACTGTGTAATTTATTGTTTGTATTCTATTACTGCTCGTTGTTCCAACATTTTCCGTATTGGAAACAGGCTAGCAATGGAAACATGAGGAGCAAATTGAGAGATTATTAGTAGCACATATGTTTCTAAGAATGGTAAAAATGAATGAAAATGTTATACGTTTCATGTGTGGTTAAAATTTAAATATTCTGATAATATTGAATTTGATGTAAAGTAAAATATAAAACATCCCCATTTAACCTTGTAAGGGCTATGAGCGTCTGTGTGCTTCAGGGAGCGATATGACATTTTGACCTCAGACACGTTTTGACAGTCACCATAAAGTCTCCTATCGAATGGTAAGGTAACATATTTAATGATAATCGTACTTTGTGTTCGTCTCAATTTTAGTGCTGGGTCTGAACTGAAGAACGCACGAAGTAAGTAATCAATGTTGGGTGTGCACCTAGCCCTACAAAATGCTTTTCACCTTCTCTCCTATTGTAAGATTTCCTATTATTCACGATAAATAAAGTTATACTAGTTCAACTTTTCTTTTACTATTAGTACAATAAAGAAAAAAGCTGATTAGATTTCTTCTAATATTTACTGGCAAATAACATACAATCCCTGGCCAAATCATTGTGACCACCTGCAAAATTTAAGAATTTAGTTTTTAGAATTTTTCTTTGCTTTTATATTTTAAGGAAAAATCTTATATCTCAATTGATGTGACATTTTTTTCTTTGGCAATATTGGTCCTGGGGGGGGGGCACATTGGTTTTTTGAGTGAGACCTTCATAATTTTTTAGTGGAATAATTGTTTATTTGCAATAAGTGTGAACTGTTTAGGTATTTTATCTATATTTTATTGTTTTCACTTAGATTTTCTTAATTTTATCAGATTTGCCGTGTTCTTTTGTATTTTTAATAACTATAAATTAACCTTTAATTTAATTTGTTGTACGTTTTGTGATGAGAAGGCCACATAACCTATCTCCAAAAAAAGTTATTAAAAAAACTTGAATTTCTTTCACAACGTCAAGTTTTACAAAAGGTTCATTACTCAGACATCAGTTGCAAATATTATCAGGAAATTATAGAATGGCGAAATATAGAAAATCTAGAGTGGTCACATTAAAATAGTCAGGGATTGCATTGTGGCGCTTTCTTTCTAGTCATGTTGCAACTTTTATAATATACCAACTTCTGAATATGCATTTCAAAAATGGTACCACATTTCGACTAACCAATTTCAGGAAGACGATTGTATAAAAGATGAGTTTACGAAGTCATCGCAACGTCATGAGAAAATGATTTGTCAAGCTTAAGTCCTGACAATTCCAGTTGACACTGTCGAAAAGCTACGATTACAATCAGAAAAAGGACTGTCCTTTCTCAAAGGTTCAACATCCCATAAGGAGCAAAATCTAATAAGTGGTCCTGCATCTTCACCTGATAGTATCCGCTGGCCTCGTCCCCGTAGCCCTGCAGGAAGTGCGCGGCGCCATAGTCGCCGTAGGTGTTGAGTCCGCCGCTGGAGTCGCTGTAGTCGTCCTCGGGCGCGGGCGGCTGCGGCTGCGGCTGCGGGGGCGGCGCCTGCGGGCCCGGGGGCGGCTGCGCGCGGTATTGGGCTGCGCGCCGCGGCCGCCGCCGCCGCTGCCGCCGCCGCCGCTGCCGCCGCCGTGGCCACCGCCGCCGCCGCCGAGGGCGACGCGCGCGCCTTGCGCCGCCCTGCGCCGCCGCCGCCGCCGCCACCGCCGCCGCCGTCGAGGGCGCGTGCGCGTGCGCGTGCGAGTGCACGTGCGCGTCGGCGCCCATCGCCGCCGCCACCGCCTCGTCGCGCCCGCTCACCTGCTCCAGGTTCAGCACCAGCTCCTTCGCCTCCAGGTCGCTGCGGGGAACCAGGCAACATGTGTTAAACTCGGCTGCTCTCAAGTTGACTTACCAACGCCTACTTTCCCAACGGAATATTGAACGGGGCTTCATGACTTCCGAGTAGTCAAGCTAACGTATTACTTTATTAGCAGTACGCATAAGAACATTTCGCTCTTTTCTACCCTTCAAAGGCCATTGTATTATCAGACGTTTTGACCACAATCCCATTCTTGAAAGACCACGCTCCTCTGCTCATACCCATTTCGAACTTCCCTCTCTGTTCCATGACCCCTAGCCCATCCCCCGTTCGCTGCCCGCAATCCGTCGTACCTCAACGCATTGCGGATGGCCAGAAAAAAAAATACTTCCACTCGCAAAAAATACAGCAAACATTTGGAAAGCATTTCGTATATAGTTGGAGATTCGTATGCGGGTAAAGATTTATCCGCTTCTACAAGCTTTGAAATGAGCCCTAAACTTTTCTCTATGTGGTTTGGGAGTTTAATAATCGATAAAACCAAACGTTTCGCGCACAACTTTCTGTACGAGAGTATTAAGATGACAATTATTACCATTACTAACAAATGCAGTTAGTGTTCGTTAGAAATCCCCGAGCAAAATCCCCGAGTGGAGCAATCGCAGTTCTTGCGATCACAAACTACCATGACTTGCCCAAACACAGAAGCATGGACATGAACCGAGAGAACTTTTGCATACAACGGAAATCACTCCAATGAAGATGCTCTGTGCAACATATTTCCGAATTCGTCCCCCTTTACGTATAATGGCGATCTTAATTTACAGGTTTTCGCGGAAAAATGATCGTGAATGGATTAACATTTTTGATAACTAAAGAATGCATAATGTTATATTCAGTAACTGGTTAATATCTGATATTTGTGGTTCTGTCTGCTGCGGATTCCTCCAATCAATTCCAGATGGATTCCGGACGACCTTTTTTTTAAACGTCGTATAACGCACACAATTCTTCCATTCTCTAGATGTAGGCGATGGGCTTTATTTTACACCAGGCATATTCTATGTTCTAGAAAGACTCGGGTGCTTTAATGCAATGTCAGGTTGAAATTTCACTATCGCACCTCAGGAAGAATATTTTAAACTGTTACGTCCCGCGTATCACACCGGTGTGGGGGAGCTACGTGCAGTCACAATGAAGGTTATTTTACTAATTTAAATATTAATTTAGTTGGCTGAAGGAATCAAAATTATAATTAAAGAAGCATATTTTAGACATTCTATTTAACGTAAAAATGTCTACTTTAGGTTCGTGTGAAGCCCTAGTACCAAAAAAAGTAGCTTATTGGGGAGTCATTGCATTTCGACTCTACCACGTGCTAATACAAATTACGTCTGTACACGACTAAATGGTTCTCTAGAGCAGCAACCACTGGAAATCATTCTTTTCTTAAAGTTCATGTGATTATTAGTTACCGAGATTTACTAGTGTACTACATGAAGGTCATTCATCTGACAGATTCATATGGTCAAGGACACACTGTCATTAATTTCTAAAGTTGGTGAAGGCAATGCGGGCGCCAACAAAGAATTCTGATCGGCACTGTAAGTACTGGCACAACTAGAAAGCAAAGAGTAACATTGACGATTGGGCTAAACCAAATCGGGTTTTCATTTAAAACACATTTGATTGATCGGTAAATTTCAATATAATGGCATTAAGTTCTCGACATGACTCTTTTCACGTTTTATAGTATTGATGACTTACTCATTGAGTATTAATATAAATATTCACGAAATGAATTCTATACTTTTAAAGATTTATTGCAATTTTTTATCAGATATTTCACTACGAAGGCTTTTATCCTTTATCGTCCCGAGTTCACTCCAACGAAGGCGCTAGATCGATGAACGAAAGCGAGGATCGAGCGCGGGAGCGAGGGCATTCGTTTTACGAAGTTCTAATGACAAAGGCGGGAACGACGATTCCAAATTTTATTTCGGTTGACATAAATGTGTTTCAATGAGGAAACTGTAATCAAATTGTTGCAAGAACACAATATTCTACTGCACAAAGAAAGAAAATGTATCGAAAATTTTGCGTAACACAGGCTGCTTTATACTAATTAAGAATATTTTATATTAATCGCTTACGCCGAAGACCGGTACCTCACCTCAACTTGGCCAGAATTTCTAGTAAAAAGTTCTAGACCAAAACTACTATGACATAAAATGCGTTGGACAGATTCTAGGACGTTGTACGTTAACCGCAGAGGCTGAAGATCGGAGCATCGACACCCAACGAGGACACACGTTGCGAAGCGTCAGTATCTCTTTAAATTATGATGTCATAAATACGTCATTGCGCGTGCAGGGATGTCGTTTCCCATGTTTTTGCGTATGTAAGCCAACTACTTCACGTTCGGTACAATTCGAGACAAACCCCCCCCCTCGCCCCCAAGAATTTTCATTTTCAAAATTGTTTTAAAATCACTTTTTATACACTCTTTTAATAGAGTTTATTAATACGTAAAGCACTTTTTAAGCACAAATAACCAAAGGATATTTTCGTGTAGTTAAAAAATTCATGTTAAAAGAGGTATTAATGTACTTACAAATCTGAGAAAGCAATTAGTAAGTAATAATTAGTTTTATTTTTTCCTAATTTTAATTTATTTATCTCGAACTAGCAATTTGATCTATTTAGACTAATAATATTAGATTATTAAATTCTACATGTAGAACACAGTCACAATATCATTGTTACTGAACAACATTTTGGAAAACTTAACTTGGAGCTGTTGAAAAGTTAATTTGGAACAGTTGAAGGTGATTTCCAAGGCTTCTTTTGTTTCTTAATTAAATGATTTCTTGTTTCATTCGTCTTGCAACAGTGATTTTTTTCGAGTCTCTTCACAGTGCCAACAAAGACGCATGAATGTCCGTTTTGTGCTTGTAAATATCCTTAAGTGGTCATTGACGAACTATTTTTTAAGTGGTCATTGACGAACCTGACTTTTGAAAAACCTATAAGTGTAAGTAACCGATACAGTAACAAGGGAGCCTCTCTAAACTGAATTTAAGTGTTGTGACTACGTGACCACAAACACATTTCGCACGCAATAACGAACGATTATGATTTCGACTCTCAAATCAAGTATCCATATCAAACTTATACTACAAATTGTTGTTTTGAGAGAATCATATATTTCTCAATCACGAGAAATATGGTGTTAGTCGCAAAAAATATACTCTCTGGGGTCTTACGTTCACCTGCCCCCATTCACGACTCGACTCGACACGACCGAATCGACTTCGCACGCCACGAAATGGGAGAACGAAAGCAAAGAACAATTGGGAATTCAGGAAAACGATCGCACTTCGTATGTGTCACGCATAAAGGTCAGATTACAAGGCTTTCAGTTGAAACTTGGAAAATACCCCAAGAGTAAGGTATAGTTGTGCCGTTTCCGAGATAATTTAATTTTTTTTCGTGGATGGGGGTGTTTTACATCAAGCCTCTGTGATCATTTCAAAATTCTCTCACAAATGGCTGCAAACCTTTTCTTTACATTTTGTCATTATCGAATACAAGAAAATGAATTTATAAATATGATATAGTTTCGATTTTCATTAATTCTTTAGAAATTTGAATCATTGCAAATGTTCAAATTAATTTTCGAACGTGTTCTGCGACTTAGTTATTAAAGACAGATTTCTTTCTCAATGCAATTAATCCCTCAATTTTCCCACTGAGATTTAGATTTATTTAGTCAAAAAGCAGTAAAAACTGTATGTGACGTAGGGGAGAAAATATTATCTGCGCACGTTTTCTTGAGTTCCAGAATCCCTTCCCGTCATTTTAACTATAAACAGTTGAAAGGTGAGTAAAAGTTAAACATAAATAAATAAATAAAATAAACACTTTAAAAATAAATTTTAAAAATGTAAGATTAGCAATATTTGAATAGTCATGGTTTTCATATCACGTCAAAAATTTTATTCACAATAAACATAAGATGCTGTATCTTAAAATGTTTTAGGAATAAAATACGTCTCTCAATATAATTGAGATTTTTCTTAAAAAAGATAGTTATTTTATTCGACACAGGATTCTTGAAACTACAACTTTTATGTCGCGACACATTTGATTACACAAATTTCACCTATCATATTTGGAGATAACTAATTTAAACAGCTAATATTCTATGGAATGGTCTTGAACCAAAGTACTCGGCCGCGTCGCCCGAATAGCGATGAGCTACGTTCTCTATCGGAAAACTAGTGGCGCCGAGCTTTGCTTGTGTTTACCTATCTAGATAATACATGCTTCCTCTCTGGACCTTGACGTGGACTTTATATTTACAAGGTAGGCAAAGAAATATCTACATAAGTATCCTCTCAGGTGGATATTTTTCTAATAAAATAAAGAAGGTTGATACATTTCACATAAAAGTAGAATGTTTACAAATTACTTATAATTAACGAGACTTATTTCATGTCAAAGAAATCACAGAATTGAAGTTCACGAAAATCATAAAAAGAACGAACATTAATTTATGGCATGTCCTTAAAGAGCAGAGACAAGATTTATCTGACAACTTATACTTACAGTGTTCTCACTTATCTTTAGATAACAAATACACATACACTCACTACTACTGTTCATTATGAAGCAGTAAATTATTTTTTTAATTGAATTGAATTGAATTTGCCTTATTTTACGTGGCGAGACTCGGGCCATCAGGCCCGCTCTTCCATCTGACCGCGCAAATTTCGCTACGCTTCTTTCATCTAGCAGAGAAAGAAGGTATTTTGTCAAACTAAAAGCATTTTAAGTTCAAAGACATCACTGTTAGAAGATCAGCCATCCAATCTATTACCTGCTTCATACGAAGAGCCATGCCAAATAAAATGGTGTTCAAAAAACTTCTTGATTTTAAATAATAAAAGTATAATTCAACGTAAACGCCCTTAAGTACTTTGGTTTATCTCAAATATATGCGAACACCTCAAATGACTCCTATATCTCCGGTAGCCGGTGCCCCTCCCCCTCCCCAGTCACCACTGCGCCGGCAGCCGAACTACTTAACCAAGCCCCGTGAAGTCATGGAAGTTAAGCACCTTGAGACATCACGGATCCCTGGATGGGTGACCGCCGGGGAACCCCCTATACTAACAGCGCTTGAGTCCCTGTTCAATAGGGATAGAAGACAGACTTACGACTTGACAGACTAATGTTCAAGAAGGAGTACTCCACGTTCAAGGCCAAAAACTCTTGCAACGTCATTACGAAAGTAACAGAATCAATCCATAATAACGTATATACTGCGTTTTATTTCTACAGTTGTAGAAAACTCAACTGCTGACTTCCTCAAATCTGGCGAAGTCTTCCATAAATCATCTCTTGAATGTACATATGTGTATATTATGTATAATATCAATTAATATCTTAATTACAATCCTTCGCAAGAACTATCAGTTGCATAAATACCTACTAACAAGCTCTGGTTAAGAAACCACGAATTACTTTTAATAGAAAACTAGAGAGCCCATTCGAATTTAAATCTTGAATTATTTTACTCTAAAGACACCTTGTTCAAATGAAGGTACAATTAATTAATCGTTACATTGTAATGTAGCATATGTACTTCCCTTGGAATACACACACTATTCACGTTTTTCTTTGAAAATAATGAATAGAATATTGCACAATACATTTTTAAGGAAAGCTTGTGTGCTGCAGTTGGCGTATTTCGCGGCCGCGGTAGTTGCTTTCTCGCCTCGTGCAGCGGTCAGCTGCTGCCCTAGCGAACGCGGGAGTGGGCGCCGACCTGCCGGCGGTTCCTACCTCAGCACGTAGTTCACGCTGACGATGCAGTGCGGCCTGGAGGACCGGCTGTTGTGCACGATGGTGGCGTAGCTCTGCATCCACACCCAGCCGCCGTCTTTGGTGAGGAATCGAAAGTACTTGGTGGTCACTTGTCCCTTGAACAGAACTGCAGCAGGGGAAAAATGGTTAGTTTCCAAAAATGTCAAGAATGGATTTAAAACCGCATCTGATGTGGTCTGTCTTATATTTTGTTTTCAAATTCAGGTCTACTTTCAAGATACGAATGTGTTTCAAGATTATCATCGTGCGAACGTTTGACAGCAGAATATTGATATTCGATCGCTTCAAGAAGAACAGGCCTTGGAGAAAGCGTCCACGATGCAAGTAAGTGCAAGATGCGGACGTCTGATTCCCTAAGTAATGTAACTTGACGAATCAGAGTGCAAGCGCCCGCAGTCAGCATGGTAATTTCCTATAGAAAAGCGAACGTGTTGTTGAGTGCGCGTACGGAAAGGAGTACTCTCCATGCGGTATTACCGAATCAACAATTGAATTGCACAACGTGACCTTGACGACTGAGGTTCGAATAAGCATTTAAAAAATCTTATAATTTGAAGTGAGCGCGTTATCTAGGTTCAGTTTAATATTTAGTCAAGTTTCAAGGTTTCATAACCTCCGATTTCTTTTCCCATCAGCAAAGGATTTAACCTTTGAAATTATTCCAGTAATATCAATTAACGATAAATTTGTATATATGTATGATATAAATGACACGCACGCTTCTATTTTCTTACGTCATTCTTGGTAGTAATTGATTTCATGGGTAAAAAGTGATTATATACTGTGTGGCCCACCTAAGATGTTCCCTTCAATTTTCTCCTGAACTGAGATGCTGTTTTCACTAAAACTACTATATGCAAGGAGGTACATATGGTCATGAGTAATATTATTCTATTGCATTTTTTATTACAGAGATATTGACCCAACTTAGATTTTTTAAATGGAACCCTATAGATTTTTTAGCTCATCATAAACAAGCGTGAAGAAACGAGTTTATAAATATGCATATCACCATATGTTACATAACAAAATTTTCGAGAAACTAAGAGTTTTAAAGATGCACGCCGACTGCAGCTTTCCGTAATCTGAACGAGAAATTTCAGGTGATATGCGGCGAGGCCATTCCCTTCCGTTGAGTCGACCCTGCGGTAAATGTAGTGATGCAATGTGCAAAGGAGCTCACGAAAACCCGCGATTTGCTCTTTAAGACTACATCCTCTTAGTCCTGGAGACAATTTATTCACCCATAGCCATGTTCTGAGCAAATCTGTACGCCAAAAGGTACTATTTTTAATTAATTAAATACTACGAGATTTGAGAAAATATTTGAATTATTAACTGTAGGGAAAGCAAGGGAAGATTGTAGAGTGAACATGTTCTAAATTATTAAATACGTATGCTGTCAGAAACAAAACGTTTACTCTTTGCAAGACTGAAAATCTCAGCCGGTACAAAAATATCATGTAAATAAAAGTAAGAAAAATGCTTTAAAATACAGAAACAAATGGTAAGTTAACAATTCTAGAAATAGCTTGATTTATAACATGTACTTAATATGTACACCATCAACGGATATAGATATTTGAAGACGCTTGTAAAGAGACCTTCGAAGAGAATTCAGAGTTCCACGTGAACACGTTACAAATTTCTTCTAAATCTGAAGAGTTTCCGTTTAGTTCTGACTGCATTTCCTTTCTCCACCGCCCTTTTATTCTACCTACCCTTCTTACGTCAATCGAGGCATCTCCAGTTTTCCCACTTTACTCGGCCGACACAATGGAAGGGAATGGCCTCGCCGCTCATCACCCGGGATTTCTCGTACAGATTACGGAAACCAGCAGCGGCGTGCGTCTTTAAAACTTTTAATTTCTCGAAAAAAATGCTATGTATCATATGGCGATATGCATATTTATGAACTCGTCTCATCACGCTTGTTATGATGAGCTAAAAAAATCTATAGGGTTTCATTTAAAAAATCGAAGTTGGGTCAATATCTCTGCAATAAAAAATGCAATAGAATAATATTAAGCATGACCATATATGCCCCTTGCATATAGTAGTTTTCGTAAAAATCCCATCTCGGTATCTGCAACGGTTCAGGAGAAAATTGAAGGGAACATCTTAGGTGGGCCATACGGTATAAGGTTGTTAAAGATATCCTGTACATATTAAAAATTATGTAGCTCATTATTGTCATTATTTTATTTGTGGTGAAATCTCAGATAATACGTAATTTCTAGTTCAATCAGATAGTGTGAGATATCATGAGACTGAAACCTACCATGGGTCCAGCTCGAACAGTGTTTGTAGCATCAACTTTAAATCGAGTACTCCCAATTCGCCCACCCTTGTATACAGATCTCTATTGCAAATTAATAACCATTCGAGAAATTTCGTTTCGAAGTATTCCATCGGAGGTTGGAAATGCACGATGAAAAATTCTAAATTGTATTGAGTCTTGTTTAGAAATTGATCAGTTTACAAATTAGTCACAAGAACGCAGTATCCGGCGCGGCATTGAAAATGAATCTCATGCTTACCGAAAAGAAGCATGTGTGGACTTCTTATCTTTGGGAATTTTATCTTGTTGGTAGTAAGAAATGATAGTGAATATTTTTATCTCTTTCGGAAGTACACTGAAGTGTGCAAAAGCGATATTTACGTTTTGAGTTTGTTGTCACATTCAAATTGAAGAAAATGCCGCAAGCAACTAAAATTGTGTAACGTTAAGGGGAACTGAAATGCCAATTTAGTAAAGCATGTTAGCTAAAATACTAATGTATTTTAAAGCAAAAAACATAGCCTTCTCTCCTTAAGATCACTTCTTACAAAGTACTCCTAGCGATCATTACACGCGGGGCATTCAGGCTGTACATAAAAGGAACAAAATATTAATCCACTCTTCTCCGAACAGATCGATTGTCGCCGAATTGAAGGCCACCGAGTCGATGGTCGCAGAACTTGCTTGGAACGCTCGGTAACACTTTGAAAAATAATTTCCTCCAATGAATTTGTAGTTTTTGCTCTTCGTCTAATGATATAGTTTTGTTGACGACCAAATCAGACAAAACATTTACCGAGCAGTTGTGAAATGCTGAATGATTGTTTCAGCGTCACGTAATGGGATTCATTGTGGGCTGCCATTCATATCACAATTACAAAGTGGATATGTTTATTTCTCACCCTACAACCTTACCAAGAGATGTTATTGAAAAATCCCCACAACTGAAATCAAACCTCACTGCGAGCCATGTTTTCATACACAACAAAAACGTTAAAAAAGAAAGAAAATAAACAGCCTGTGCTACTTCTATATGAGAAGCTTGGTAATGAATGAGCTTTTTTTCTGCAGACTTTTCTCTTTCGTTGGAATGTACAGTTTCATCTGAGAGACGAGAGTTATTTCTGTAATAGATTTTATACTATGTTATTTTATTATACTTCAATGACACTTGTTCTGGCAAATATAACATTTTACCATTAAGTACATATGAAATAATATTGTTTTCTTTATACGCATTTGTTTCGTATTTTAGCCCGCAATTTAAAAGATATGACTGACTACTGGCACTGTGTTTCTGTGACCGAGCAACGTGATATGAGCGCCAATAATCATAGACCTCTTGATGCCTGTTAGTCGTCAATCATCAGGCCGACACTCTTTGTCCTCTTCGCTTAATGTCTAAAGCAGAAAAGCTGAGGCTGCGCCATGCTAAGCCGTGGCTAGCAGGCGGGTATCGTTATCCCCGCTGCAGCCTTGGTCGTGGGCGCTCTCGCAGGCAGGCTGGCCGACCGACCGACCGGCCGGCCGGCTGGCTGGCTGGCTGGCTGGCTGGCTGGCTGGCTGGCTGGCGCGAAGAGCCACGGAACAGGCAAACGCCATGCGGTGCAACGCATGCTTGCGCGCTCGGCTCGTGCGAAATGAAAGGCGCTCAGAATGGATCATTATATCGATCCATAAGTACACTAATTGGTAGTAGTTACTCCATTACGTAAATAGAGTTAAGTATGTTCCAATAAGGATTTTTTCAATAGTCAAGTCAATAACAGTTCCAGTTCATTGAAAATTACGATTTCTGTTTACATTTACTTCAAAATGTTTGCTAATGACTCACTAGGATGTACCAAGAAAGTTTTTAATTATAGAATTAATGACCATAGAATAATACGAATCCGTGTGTCAAAGCTTTTTGAACGGTGCAAAAAGGGTCGATTATCATTACGTTCTAGTTAAACTAATAAAGAATTATTATTTTCCTTCTTCTGAACGATTTACCTCTCTTAGGATCAACTGTGAGTTCCCATGATGAAAAACAAAATGTGTATCATATTCATTAATTGCTCTGAATATTGATTAAGAGTATTACCGCAGGAAATTATTATTAATTTACAAAACAGAGTGCAATTCCGAGAAATTTTATAGAAAGACCTACATTGAGCATTATTTTTTCTTCTCCAGTTACATTCCCTCGGGAACAGTTATATTATTTTCCATAAGAATTATGATGATTTAAGGCAATTCGGAATGAAAAAGTCTTGCATAAACTAATCAGCAAAAACATTGGAATTTTGAACGGGTTTATGACGATAGTTATTTCATTGAATTGAATATATATGCATTGCATAATATCTATATTCTCTTTATTTTGAAACAAAAATATAAATGCCTGAAGATCACGACTTTCCTACTCATAATCGATTCATTTTCTTATTTTATTTTATTTATTTACTATTTGGTGAACAATTTTGTCTTAGGTGTAAATTCTTTACATTCAATAACTTTAGGATTGGACATCGTAAGGCAACTGCGAGACTTACTCTAATTTTGGGTTATTATAATTATTATTATTATTATTATTATTATTATTATTATGTAAAGAAAATTTAAAAAAACACTAATACGGGATATTAAAATTTGATAAAATGGGAGTTATTGTGATATGAATTAATCTTTAGAGAATCAAGAACGAAAACATCGTGGGTTTCTCCAAGTTTTACAAGGTTAAATTCTGAAAGGCATGGTACAAGAAGATGAATAGAACAGGTTTGATAATGTTTGTATAAAGAAGTCTAGAGGATCTACGTTGAGCTCTTA